TTTTTATCAATGTCTTCTCTAGAAGCAGTTATTAATTCTTTTACTGTAGAGTTTTTTTCAGATTGGGTTTCCTCCCTGTTTCTGTATTTGATTCTTTAGTTTAGATGCTATGAATTCAGAGATTTCTTTTTTCATTTCAGACATTAATTCTGCTTTGAGTTCCTGTAAACCTTTCTGGTGTTGCTTATTTACTTCTGACACTATTAATTCATATATTTCAGCTGAGGTAGAGTCCACTGCACTTGTTCTGGGTGGGCATTATGTTTCCTCCGTATGTTTCTGCATTTGATTCTTTAGTTCAGATGCCATGAATTCAGTTTTCTTTTTTTGTTGTTCCAGAAATTAATTGTGCTCCGAGTTCCTCTATATCTTTCTGCTGTTGTTTATTTACTTCTGACTCTATTGATTCATATATTTCAGCTGAGTTAGTGTGCTCTACACTTGTTATGGATTGGCTCGAGGCCTGAGATTACATTTTGCTCCTTGTCTTTATCATTTCATATAGCACTGACCTCTGACCTTTGGTGTAGAGCTTTGGTGCAGTTATATCCTTATCACCTAATGAAATTCAGGTACTGATATACTAAATTTTAGTTGATGCAGTTGTACCTGGCTTGGGTCTATCTACTGTGCTCAGCTCCTTATTGTTGTTGCCCTTGGAGGTGGGCCTGCTGTACCCCTCTGGTAAGATGTTGTTCCTGGATTAGCTGTGTGGTTTTGGCCCTAGTCTCACTGCAGGGACTTTAGCTGCAGGGTTTCACCCCATGCCTGTATGCCAGGCCGGGGCTGGGTCTGCAGGGGTTTGGGGGGGGGCGGGCAAGAGAGTGCAGCAGCTCTCCCACACACTCACCAGGGCTGTGCTTTGGCCGGTCTGCAGGACTCCCAAGAGTGCGCAGTGAATGTTCTCATTCACAGGATGGGCTGTGCTGACTCTGGAAGGGCGGGGGAGGTCTGGAGAACGTAGGGAAAAGCCTCTCTCATGCAGTGGACCTGGGCTTGGACCGGCAGGCATAGGACAGAGAAAAAGCTCTCCCACACACTCGCAGGGCCTGGGGTTGGTTGGATATGGCCAAAGGCACAGCGGAAGTTCTCACTCACAGGGCAGGCTGTGCTGGGTCTGGATAGGCGGGGGGAGATCCAGAGACTTCAGGGAAAGGCCTCTCTCATTAAGTGGGCCTGGGCTTGGAGTGGCGGGAGCAGGGGGGCCTAGGGTTAGTGGGATATGGAGCTGGCCCTATGGTAGACTTTTGTATTAATGTTGTAATTCAGATTTTTGTTTTTGATATTGGTTTAGGTTTTACAATAGCTGATGTGAAAATGTCAGTGTCTATTCTAAGTGTGTGTAACATATTTGATATTTTATTCTTATTTCTGCTAAATGCACACTGTACAATAAAATAAGCTCCTGACAACCGAGAAAGACAAGAGGTAAGGAGAATTGTTTGCCACACAATAAAGGAAAACTAAAGACATATGCTGTCAGTGTAACTGAGATATATGTAGGGAACATACTGTTATAGTGCGTGAAGACTGCCATGGGTGTGGAAGTTTAAGCAAAGAATATGTTTGTTGCAGAGTTCTATCAGTATTTTCTTTGGAGTTCACATAGGAATGTTATGTTTTTAGACTTTGCACACAAAAAAGTTGATGTTGAAAATATTGATGCTTTTTAAAAATAAATATTAAAAATTCAGTATTTACTCATGAATAAAACTCATAAAATTAAAAATTCATCACTGTATGTTCAAGACCAGTCTAGGCTACACAGTAAATTTGAGGCTAATATGAACTACACAGCAAAAAAAAAAAAAAAAAAGTCTGACAGAATTGTATATTTATTTAACTGGTATATAAATACCAATGAGAATGCTATTAGGATGTGTTTGTTATATTTAACACATTGCTGAACACAAATGCAAGAGTATTTTGTTGTGACCCCATTTGAAAGTTCAAAAATACAAGTAAAACAAATCTATGGTAATAGAAGTCAGCAATGAGTGTTTAGGGAGAAGTCATAAACAATAAAGGGAAGGGCACTCTCTGTTCTAATTCTTGACCACTACGGTATTATGTAAGTGTTCATTTTGTGAAAATTCAGAGCTATTTCTTTCATGTACTTTTCTATATGAATGTCATACTTCAGTTTAAGAAGTTCAGTATTTTTAGATCGATCCCTTCATCCCTATGAGGCAAGGAATTTTTTTAAAAGCAATTTTAATATTCACATGCTTTATTGTTCTCCACGCTTCATCATGTGCATATTGTCTGGATGCAATGCAGAGTTTATTAAGGTTAAGGCCATCAAATCAACCTCACTTTTATAACATCTCTGAGTTTTTCCTCCAAAATTTTCATGGTCTATTTTTTGAACTTTTGCTTTTTTAAGACAGGACCTTGCCATGTAGTCCAGACTGGCCTTGAACTATGCAGCACAGGCTGGCCTCGAACTCGTAGTAATCCTCCTGCCTCCACCTCCCAAGAGCTGGGATTATATGATCAATGTGTGTATTTTTGATGGTTAATCATTTCAAGTTATTAACCCTTCACATCTGATACTTTAAATTAATATAAAATTTTAAGTCTAGTACACTTTAAATTAATATAAAATTTTAAGTCTAGTACTTTTTTTTGCAGTACCAGGGATTGAACTTGGGACCCTGAGCTTGCCAGGCAGGCGCTTATGCCATTAAGCTGTCTCTCCAGCCCTGACACTAGTACTCTTAAAGTATTACATTGTTTTCTTATGCCTTTGGGCCTGAGAAAATGCAGGTTAATCTGATTATTTCTACATTTACTCTGTATATGAAAGATTTTCACATCTTTCTTGTTTTACGTTTGTGTTCAGATATGAGTACATCTTTGTCTCTTATTTTGAACTGTGTCTTTTTATCTCTAAACTTTTGTCTCTCTTACTGTCTCAAAGTTGGTACATCCATGTCTGTCACCCATCTCCATTAACTTTCCTATTTCCCTACTTTTTTGCAGGAATTGTCCTAGGGGCCTCATACATGCCAGGCAAGTATTCTACCACTGGCCTATATTCTCTGATCCCTGTGTCCATTCTTTTTTATTTCATTTGATTACATTCTTTATGTTTCATTAGTTCTTCTATCACATTGATAAATGTTTGGTTTTGATTTTTTTTTTTTTTTTTTTTTGCAGAACTGGGGATCGAACTCAGGCCCTTGCACTTGCCAGGGAAGTGCTTACTTCACTAAGCCATCTCCTCGGCCCCAAGCCATCTCCTTGGCCCCTTGATATTTTAACATAGGATCTCACTATGAAGTTGAGGCAGCAATCCTCCTACCTCTGCTTCTGAGCACTGAGATTACACGCATATATCACTGTGCCCTCCCAATGGCCAGTGCTACAGCCTGTGCTCAATATTCCAAGAGAGGAAAAGGGATCAGCCCAATGGTGAAAGGCCTCAGCATTACACATCCAGTTAACTGTTCTACTTCATTATCTACCAAGCAATCCTTTGTATCACGGCTCCCTCTCTGGACACTGGGAAAAAAAGGCAATGAGAAAAGACACATTTAAAGTCTATTGTAAACTATGAGTCCTATAAGACCAGAGGGGAAGAGTACAGAAGTAACTCTGGAAGAGTACAGAAGTAATGTCAAGCTAGTCAATTTTTTTTCTATATTTAGGACAGGGTCTACAGGGTCTCACTACATAGGTCGGACTTGTAGTGATTCTCCTATTTTCAGCCTCCCAAGTGCTGGGATTACAGATGGGCACCACCATGCCCAGTTTCAATCACCATCTCAGTGCGCCCCATGGATGGGCCCAGCCCAGGATGTGGGGGATTGAACCCTGGCTGCTGCGCTCTGTCTAAGCAGGCGCTTTAGTCTGCTGAGCTATCAGGCTAGTCAAGCTAGTCAATTTTTGTATTTACTTCCCAAAATTTTCACCCCTTTTGTTCTATTCTAACTTTATTTGCAGATATCTGCAGCAGAGATATGGTTTTGATAGTACCAATGCATGCTACAAGAAAGCAAACAATGGCAAAAGATTTTCTCTAATGAACCTATTCATGGCCACTTAGCCAGCTACATTCCATTTCCCTATAAATATTTCCATGAAATACTTCAAAGTATCTTACATGTCCTCAGGGGTTTTATTTCCTTTAATTATTAACTAAACATATTAAAAGTTGGGGCCGGAGAGATGGCTCAGTAGAATAAGTGCTTGCCGGGCAAGTGCAAGGATCTGAGTTCAATCCTCGGTTCCGCAAAAAAAAAAAAAAAAAAAAAAAAAAAAAAAAACACCAAAAAACCCATATTAAAAGAAACATTCTAATCAAACATAATAGAACTCAAATGGTTTTATTATACATTACCATTATCGAAAGCAAACTATACAAAAGTTTTATACAGATTAAAAAAAATCCTTGACACATAGTATTTTACATCATAATTATACATATTTACAAGTATACTATTTAATTTTACAACTTACCAAAATGAGACAATTATAAAAACATAAAAATGAATGAAAATGAACTAAACACTTGTTTAAAATGCTACAAAACTTTTTAAAAAATCTAGAGAAAATTATTTATTTGAAATATCAAAACTAAGGTTTCAATACTATGCCACACTGTTGCTTTCATTTGGTAATAAGTTCTAATGTTCAAAAATAAATATTTTGACCAGTAATAGGTAAGCAAGTCAGACTGATGACTGGAATAAACAAATATACTGATCTGAGATTAACAAGTAATGACAAATGTAGGTTGGCTATCACTTAATAATCAAAGCTCAATAAAACCTCCCTCTAGTTCCCCATTTAAAACATGAGGAATTTGAAGCTTCTCTGTAGTATGATATATCAATTAAAACTCCAAGGAATTCAGCCACTTATCTGTAATGTAAGAAAATGCTAAAGTTATGATTTTATTTTTGTGGTATGACCATTTTTATTAAGTGATAAATTTAATTTTTTTTTTAGACAGAGTCTCACCATGTCCTTTAGACTGGCTTTGAACTCACTAAGTAGCCCAGAATGGCCTCGAAATCATGGTGATCTTTCTGCTTCAGCCTCCCAAGCGCTGGGATTACAGCTGTGAATTACCAAGTCCACCTGTGTAAGTACTCCTTTTTACCTCTACTTACATAGTACTGGTGTTAAAAATACAACTTTTACAGAATCTGTTTGATAACCACTGTCATACTGCAATTTTGGTAAGAATTTAATGAAACCATAATACTTGGGGGAAAGTAAAATCAGTTAAGAGACAACTAGGAATGAAATAAATCTGTGTATGATCATACACTCTCCCCAAATATCAAATTAGTTGAGAGATTTTATATCTGCAAAACTTTTAATGATTTTACATGTACAATGGAATTTGAAATTTTAGCATCATTTCCAGAACCAAGTTAGTTCCGCTCTGAATTTATATTATCTTCACAAGAGAACAGAAATCATATTTTTAGGTAATGTTAAAGTAACAAATTGAGGTTAGTTTTTTAAAGGTAGCAGAAACCTTAATGGAGACACAATCTGTAAACTAAGGAAGCCACTTATGCCTAATGCTGTATTCTTTTAAAGTTCTTTAGGCTTAGACTAAGCTTCTTTCCAAAATTCTCCATTATTTGGTGGAGACACTGTGATACAAATTCACAGTAAACCAGCAAATATCTTTTGAAGATCTCACTAGCAAACCAGTTGCTTTAGTATTAGATAGTAACTTACATGGAGGTAGAAATAAAGATTGATCTGTGTCCAAATAGCTTCTATTTGGATTTAATTTGAACTTAATTTAAAACTAGATGTTTTGCATTCAAATAATTTTTACTAAAAATCCAATGAAAAATACAGCGAATACAGTAAATGTTAATATTATTTTTTCTTCCCTGAAAATCCAAAAAAGCACTTCACTGAAGTCTGACATAAAAACGTGCCAATAAATTTAAATATTAGTTTTTAATATGCACGAATGGCTTAAAGAAACTGAGCAAGCATGTCTGTGAACAGTATCAATAACTTAATGCAGTAATGCTGTCATCTATTTAGATGTCAATGGACTTCATATTAGGAACATATATCTTGTATTCTAAAGCATAAGTATGCCTCATAAAAATGTGAGAAATATTAAATTATAATGACCACATAGACTTCACCAGTTATGAAATATAGTATTAGTCACAAATATTTTTCTTTATTCTTCTTTATCTAAAAGAAATTATTAGTCATATCAAATCGATATCCCTCACCTTAGACTCATCAGCAATCTGAAAGCTGAGGAGATGCCATGCTGGTCTGCAGCAGGCTTCAGGAGTATGGCCCTGTGCATGCCAGAACCTGGGCTGCCTGCAAGCGTCCCAACCTGTGACTGACGCGGGAACTCTACCGGTGCTGCTCCCTCACCCACTGCCCACATCTGCAGTGGTTAATGGGCCAGCTGCAAATGATGTATGATGTGTCAATCATTTTCTATACTAGTCTCCTGTAGTTTGACCATTAGCTACCTGCATTTCGACTTTTCAAAGAGCTTCTTTAGCTGCTGGAATCTTTCTGAAACCTGAAAAGTTAAAGTGATAATCATTGTAAATATTTCAGTTTTTAAAAATCTTTGATGCTTTCAAAAAAAAACATCTGCAGACAGCCAGTTATGCTCAACAATGAGATTAAATGATTAGAGAAATGAAATATCCTCATATTAAAGGTCGATTGCTTAAACTGTTTAATATTAAATTTTATTAAACAAGCAAGCATCACTACCAAATTGCCTGTGATCAAATAAGAGTCGATAAGACACTTTTTTCACAACCACCAACTTTAATAGTCTTACATTTATTCATCTTTTTAAAGAAATAGGCTAATAAGTATTTTAATATGTTAAAAAGTTAAATCTAAGGGGTTGGGGAAATGAGATGGCCCAGTAGAATAAGCACTTGCCTGGCAAGCGCAAGGGTCTGAGTTCAATCGCCGGTTCCGCAAAATAAATAAATAAATAAAACAAAAAATTAAATGTAATTATGGCAAGTAACCAACAGAGATATAAAAATTGGGCTTGTTACCTGATTTGGATTTTTATTTAATTTGACAGCTAAATGTGTGAACGTTTTCAGCGATGGCCTTCTTTTCTGACACTCTAGTAAAATTTCCCGGTCATCATTTCTAAGAAGGGAGAAATTATAGTCAGCCTTTATAAGTTGGAGGAGAAGGTTAATAGATTTCATTGCTTTAATACCCACCAAGAGGAATGACAGTCTTATTAAAACCTACAGGGGAAGAAGAGTCTATATATCAAGATTTGGAGAATGGTTATTGCTGAGAAGCAAGAGTATGTATGATTTTATTCTTTGAGATTATATTTACTAACTTTCCAGAATAAAAGTACTAAGTTATTTTTCTAGTAAGAAAATTAGTTGTTGCTTTTAATTCTACCTGTAACAGGTTCCTCCCAGCTTGAACCACTGGTGGTACATACATAAATATCCCATTGGGCAGTTTGCACTACTGGTGATACAAAGTGATCTAATCACCTCACTTTTTTTTTTAAAGTCTTTTTGGGACAGAGTTTGTTAAGTACTCCAGGCTGGCCTTCAACTCACTTTGTAGTGTAGGTGGGCCTTTTGCCTCAGCCTCCCGAGTCCTGGGATTACAGGTGTGTGCCACTGTATTTGGCCAAATCTTATCACTCTTATCAGTCTTTTTACTAATAAAATTAATAAAAGCCTACCCTCATATATATACCATCAGTAGTTCAAGCCACTCAGCAGTGAAACATATAAATTATAGTTCTGTTGTGAATGTGTTTTAATACATATGCTACTTAAAACATTAGAGCCCTTTTGGTAGTTGTAGTACATTCCTATAATCCCAGCACTCTGGGAAGATGAGGCAGGAGGAACCAAATTTTAAGGCCAGCCTGGGTAATTTAGCCACAACTTGTCTCAAAATGAAAAAATAAAATACAAACCTGAGGATGCAGTGCAGTACAAAGGCCCTGAGGTTAATTCCCGATACCACACACATAAAAACAAAAAAATTAAGGCCATGTTGTATGTGGTAGCACACACACACACACATACACACACACACACACACAATCCAAGTACTCTGGGAGGCCTAGGCAGTAGGATTATAAATTTGAGTGTAGCCTGACTACTTAGTGAACATAAATATATAAATAAAAAAGGTCCTAGGTTCAATACCCAGTATGAAAAAAAAAAAAAAAGAAAAACTAGCCTAAAGATGATCATAGATTCCAAACCAGAATTAAAAATAGAATACTGAACTACTAATTTCTAGATTTATCTCTTTCCATACAGTTCATTTATTTATTGAGACAAGGTCTCATTTTGTGGTGCAGGCATCCTTGAACTCATTCTCCTGCCTCGGCCTCCCAAATACTGGGATTACAGGCACGTACCACCATGCCTAGCCAATATAGTCTAACTGAATGGGTGTTTATTATAATCTCTTTGACTTTACTCTGCTACCAGCAAGCTACTTAACATGAGGGTCCGAGTATTGTGGTATTAAAAAAAAATCACTAGTTTTAAGAAAGCCAGTCTTATGATTGATACATTGTGTCAATTTGAGGAATTTAAAAGCTTAACTAGTGTAGGGACTGGGGTTTAGACCCTGGCACCACATGACATGCTGGTCCCACCATGGGGCGCACTGAGCCAGTCTGGCTGTGGTGGCACATGCCTATAATCCCAGTGCCAGAGAGGCTGAAAATAAGAGGATCACTACAAGTCTGAGCTGCATAGTGAGACTCTGTACCAAAATACATTACAAATAAATAAATGCTTAACTAAATAACAGCGGTTTTATATCCTGGGGTATAAAGAACATGCCCTTATTACTCTAGGATATTGTCTATTGCGTCAATTTAAAAAGCTCAAAATTTTTAAGATTTCACCTAAAAAGAAAAAAGACCAATAAAATGCCTTTGGCTGTTCTGTATGCAAGATTCTGGTCAGAGCTCAAAGGACCAAAAGGCTGACAAAGGTCCTATTGGTAAATATCATACTCAAGAGGTTTCTGTTAAAAGGGACTGCACTGAGGGTTAGACTCCAGATGGTGTGTCATGGATTGGCAAAATTTTGTCTACGTTTTACTCATATCCAGAGACTTTGCTCAAGACTAAGATTGAGGGTGACAAAGTAATCTGGGAAAAATAATTTTCAAAGTCAAATATTGAGGCTGTAGCATGGCTATTATTGGGGGCTTTTAGTCAAATTTATATTACAAGTCAAGAGTAAAGAGCCCAGCAAAATGACTTAAAATGTAGCCCCCCCCCCCCAAATTCTAATAAAGCTACAAACTACAAAGACAGAGCTGAGGAAATCTCCATTGCTTTAAAAGGAAAAAAAAAAACGTCTGAGGGCATCACAAAAAGCAGCACAATCTCCACTCTTTGTAGCTTTAAAACTGCAAAAGTAAAAACTCTGCTTTAGGGGCTGGCCAAATAGCTCAGTGGATTAAAAAGCGCCTGCAAGCAGGCTCAGGGGCTGGGGTTTCAATCCCTGGGCCTGCTGTGCCGGCCACGCCCCTGGGGTGCACTGAGACAGCAATTGAGACTGGGCCTGGTGGCAGAAGCCTGTGATCCCAGCTCTTGGGAGGCTGTAAACAGACGGATCACTGTGAGTCTGATCTAGTTGTGAGACCCTGAATATCCTGTAGACCCTTCCCTAAAATACAAAAACAAAACAAGAAAAAAACAAAACAAAACTCTGCTTTAATAAAAAGGCACCGAGTACCAGGTTCCAAATTGGCAGTGGTTGGGGCTGGCAGGTTAGCTCAGTTGTTTAAAGTGCCTTCTTGAGCAAAATCAGTCAGGGGCAAGGGACTGTAATTCGATTCCCAGTACCGCAGGGCCCTTAAGGTAGCCTGAGCCAGCCAAAAATGAAAAAAGAATTCTCAAAATGGCAGTGGCGTAAAAATATTTGTCCCTCAAAATTAGATTCATAGTGCCCAGTGATCCAGGTACTTGACCCCTATAGCCATGGGGCGGGGAAATCCTATCTACTACTCCACCTGGCAGCAGACCCCGATATCATCCCTATGGCACTGGTTTTATGTACATACAAAATGGAAGAGTTAAAAAGTCTTCCACCTCGACTTCAAAAGGCCTGGGAGGCCACACAGTGTACCTTGAGAGGGCAGTAGATAAGACTGTGAGTAAAAAGCGTAGTAAAGTGCAATAAAACCCCCCCAGAGTTTAAAAAAGCCGAAAATGTAAATAATCTTAAAAACAAAAGCAAGCAAACAAAAAAAATCCACAAGCCCTGTAGAACTCAGTGTGGCACAAATTCCTTCACATGCTAGAAGTAAAATTATAGGACTCAATGTTTGCCCTGTTAGATTTTAGACTTGCTTTGTTTATCTTGTGCTATTAAATGTTAAAATTGTTAAACTCTGTTTTCATTTGTACAGGGGCTTAGAGCTAAAAGTTTGCTTTAAATCTCAGAGGGAACTTAGGACTTTACTTTTTTTTTTTTTTTTAAATTTTTTTTTTTTTTTTTTTGTATGTGTGTGTGTGTGTGTGGCCAGCTCAGCCCACCAGGGGGCGGGGCTGGCTGGCATGTGGTGCTGGGGGATTGAACCGCGGTCCCTGTGCTTTGCTAAGCTTGTTCTAAGTAGGTGCTTTAGACCACTGAGCCATCCCACCAGCCCCAGGACTTGACTTTTTAACAATGCTAAAACTGTTTGGGCTTTGGCAACTCCTGAAGATAAGGGATGTGCATGAATCTTTGGGGGACCAGGGGCAAAATGTTATGGTTCCAATGTAGTATGATGTTTTACAGATTTAATACTGATTCTTAAAGATTATTAAACCTGCTATATAATGTTAAGTTGTAAAATGTTAAAAATAAACATTTCTTTATATCTAAAAACAGCTTTTAAAAAATGTACTTGGTTGCTAATTTGATAAGTAGATCATTACTTTGCCCCTACTGTTCTAGGATGCTGTTCAGTGTGTCTACTTTAAAAGTTTATAAAGTTCAACTAAGTGATTCAGCAGAGAGCCAGAGTTCTTACTTTGTAAACATTCTCAGCTTGTAGAAGAGGGTGCCTTCCCTCTTGTGAAAGAGGAAAGAAGGTGGAGGTGGGGGGGGGTGTTTATTCTCCCTTCTTTAGCTTTTGCTAAGGGGCCTTCCAGTTAGCCCAGTTGTTTAAATGCCTTCTTATGCAAACACATAAGGGACTTGATACCTCAGTTCCATCCCCAGCTCCATAGGCCTTATCAGACCTGCCCTTAAGGCAGCCCGGGTCAGCCCCCCAAAAAACAAAACAAAACAAAAACCAAAAAAACTTCTCAATTTTAGCTTTTGCTGTGTTCTGTTGCCTAAACTGTTACCCTGTGCCATGCCACCCTGCCTTAGAGCCAGCTGATTACAAACTAAAACTAAAACCTCCACCAACTGTGAGCTAAATAAATCTTTCCTTCCTTAATTTTGGGTGTCATATATTTCATTTCAATAGAAAAAAAAGGAAAGAAAAAGTGACAGAGTCACCAGCTTTCTTCATCAAGTTTGGGAACCACCCATTTCTAGTACAATGTTTCCCAACTAAACTTACCATTATGTCTGGTGTGGGGTATTAATATCTGCAATTTTTAAAAAGTTCACATAAAAAGTACAACCTACTTAGGAAATAAACTTTTAATTTAGGGGGAAGTCAAATTACACATAATCCCACTTCTTGTTTCATTATACTATTCCCTCTTTCTCAAATGTACTTATAATCTTCCTTCCAAAGAATTTATTTTTTCCATCAAAAAAAAAAAAAAAAAAGATGAATTAATTTTAATACAAAGTAAAGATAGGGCTGGTGAGATGGCTCAGTGGTCTAAAGCACCTACTTAGAACAAGCTTAGCAAAGCACAGGGATCGCAGTTCAATCCCCCAGCACCACATGCCAGCCAGCCCCACCCCCTGGTGGGCTGAGCTGGCCACACACACACACACACACACACACACAAATAAATAAATAAATATCAAAGTAAAGATAAAAATACACTGGAAAGATCAACTTAAGAGACTTAACTCACATCCCTGGTTAAAACTATTTTCAAGCCTAGGTATGGTGGCATATACTTGTAGTCTCAGTTGTTTAGGAGGAATGACAGAGGATTGATTGCAAGTTTTTGGTTTTTGATACTGGGAAACAAACTCATAACCTCTCACTTGACAGGCAGGTACTGTGCCACTGAGCTACATCCCCAGTCAAGACTACAAGTTCAAAGACAGTCTGGGAAATTAAACAAACCCTGTCTACTCTGTCATATAAAAGGGTAAACAAGACATTTCTAGGTAAATGGCTACACCTTGAGAACATACTCTTAAAATAAAATAAATTGAATACACATGTTAAACTTTTGTAACTAATGGAACAGGGATTGAAGGTAGGGAAGAGAAAAATAAATCAAGACATTATCATGTATAGTTATAAATTCTGTATGATGTTATCATTATGTGTATCTAAAATGTACCAGTAAGATTAATTTAAAAATGACCCTGCCTCAAAAATAAGGGGTGAGGATGTAGTTAAATGGTAGAGTACTTGCCTATTATATATGATACTGGGTTCAATATCTTACACTATGTGCGCACACGCGCACACACACACACACACACATAACTCTAGAATGTTCTATAGTACAGCTATTACACTTAGGGTATGGACCTTCAACTAACTTTTTGGAAATAATGAATAGTTTAGAATAGAATAGATTCTAATGAAATGACAGATTACATTGCTGACCTCTCAAAATTTCCCAATGATTAAAATCCTTACCTTGTCCATAAAAGTGTAATTTCTCCCTTCTTCTTAATAACATTCTTTGCATAAAGACTTGTAGGAGAAGTGGTAAGAGGTGCTGGTGAATTCTTAATCTCCTGGCTTACTGTTGAGGAAGAATCTTTATTCACCGTCCCTTTCTTACTGGCTTTCTTTTGAAGAGCTTCATTATCTTCATTAGAATCTTGGATAAGTTTCTTTGTCTCTTCTGTATTGGTTAAGTCTGTCTCCTGTCTTTGTTTCTTCTGAGAATGATTTAGGTCAGAAAATTTTTTTCTTTTCTTTTGAACATTAGCTAAAGTCCCAGGCAACTCTGAACCATTAGAATTTGACACTGGTTCTGATTTTAAATCATCTTTCTTTACTTCATATGAATGAGGAGATTCTGTGGTCAAGTCTATACAGGTTTCTTCACCAACATATTCCAAAGGCCTGCCTGCCAGTTGCACCTTTTCCTTACAGTTGTCTTCATCCACACATATCACCTGACACCCCAAGCCTTCCACTGCTAACACAGGATGGTTACCTTCATTTTTACTTTTGCTTGAAGCATCTTGTGTTAAATCAATAAAAGCATCTATAGTTTCGGGCTTCAAAGAATGATTCAGTATTTGAGCACTTTGATCTAAGTTGTCTCCAGAACATCCCAACTGATCAATATTTAAAACTGTTACTTCTATTAATTCCCCCAAGTTTTTTGTCTCAGTTACTGGATCTTTTGTTAAGTCTATTAATGTGTTTGGAAGATGATCCTCGACAGAGTGTGGAACTTCTTCCACTGAAGGCAATTCTTCAATGTTTTCAGGCACTTTCGATTCCCATACTTGGTGCAACTTGAAACAATTACCAGGTACTTCATCATCATGACTGGCCTTTCCTGAAGCATCCTTAAGAAATTCATATATATCAGGAACCTGTGTTTGTATCACAGAGCTCTGTTCGTTAACTGATTTACTGGTATTGCTATTGTTGCAGGTTTCCAGCTCCTCCACAGACTTAAAACCTGCATGCTGACATGAAATATGTTCCTTCTTTGCTACATCATCAGTTTCCTTTTCATCTCCAGGCAAAGACGCCAATGACTCATCAGCTACCTTACCCTGTTTGAGAGCGGAGGAGGTGGACGGAGCTGCACGCCGTATTTTGACAATAAAATGATCATTGGACTTTTCCATTATGACAGCATGCATGGGTAGATTAGGGTGATACTGAAAACCAGGGGCAACAGACCTGCTTGTCCAAGATGAACAACTTGATTTACTGCTTGAATTATCAGACTCTAGAGCTAAATGAATATCTTGTTCAGATGCATCCTCTTCTTCAAGTAAAGCATCTTCACTGAAATGTGCACTAATAACTTCTTCAGGAGTTGAACTAGACAAAACTTCAGGTTTTAAGAAACTGAGATGACCATCTGACTTCAGGGGTGAAGGTACAGTTAAAGAGACTGCAAGATCTTCAATGAGTATGGAAGAAATGCAGGCCTTGCTCTTTTCTGAACTGCATATGTTTTCTTTATTTAGAGCAAGGTTAGTAGAAACCTCAAACATACAATTTTCATCTAAAACATCAGGATGAACTGGCAAAGAAAGTCCTGAAGGCAGAGATGGACCTTTTTCAGATGATAATAAAGACCAATTATCATCACTAATCATTTTAGGACCTGGAGAAATCACCTCTGTAACTAGCTCTTCTGTTGCACAAGCTGGTATAGATTCACATTTAAGACTCTCTAGAAGCTGTTTTTCTGGAGTCTTTAACTCCCACTCAGATTTATCAGTACAATTAACACTGCTGTCCAAAAGATCAGAACCTTGTAATAAACTTTTAAATATTTCACCCATCTGAGCATCACTCACTAAATTAAAAGTAAGGCTTGATGTCTGCTGTTCAGTAAGAATCTCAAAACCACGTTCTGACTTCAAAGAAGCATGCTGGGGCAATTGTGAATCCTCTACAGCGTTGCTTTCATTTTCAACTGGCTTAGAGCCTTTCAGACAGTTTAGTTCCAAAGAGTGTGCTTCAGATTGACAGTTTTTTATATTATCAAAGCAGGTGTTAAAACTTCTTTTAATGTCATGCTTTACAATGTTAATACCGGAGTTATTCTGATCTTGTTTTTCCTCAGTTTTTTTAGATCCTGGCAAAGACTTAAAATTTACAGAGTGTTCTGATTTTGGCAACTTTTCTCTTAGCATTTCTTTTTTGTTGTCATCGAGATTTCCCTTCTGTCTATTTGAATATTGTACTCTGTCTTTTTTTGCTTTTTCAAGCTTTTCTTCATCACTGTCACTTCCAAAGTTTAGAGAATAAAACTTCAGTAAGATTTTCTTAAGCTTTGCCAACAAATAATCAAGTTGTTCATCTACAAACTTCCATAATTTTTTTTTCATATCTGGCAGCTGCTGTTCAAATAAGCGATCAACTATGCCATTTTTCTTAACTTCCTTAAGTTTAGATTCAATAAAATCACAGAGATTCTTCTGTAAACTAGTTACTGACTTAGAGATCTTGGATAAGTCAAGGTGTTTAATTAGTGAAGTAAAACTCAAAATAGCAGACTCAATAATTCTGTGAAATTGTAGCAATGAAAACTTTACCTTGAATTTCATGTAATTTTTCTTTACATGCTTTTTAATCATTTGTAACATATGCATAATCTCTCCTATAGAACAAGGCACAGCAATGATTGAAACTATTTTCTCCAAGCTGGAAGTACTCATTGTTTCATCTTTTCTCTTTGTTTTTGAAGACCTCTGAGATCCACTTGGGTTTTTGTGCCACCTAGTGTTGGTCTGGTGGATTTTTACATATGTTTTCCTATGGTCTATGTTCATATGAGCAGCGCTTTTCCTACTTCCTGAGTTTGTTTTTGTGTTCTGTGCTGCAGCAGATTTAGGTTTGTCATTTTTCTCCAAATTTGTTTGTACACTGGAGTCTTCACTGTCAGTTAGAATTTCTCCTTCTTCTAGTTCATGTAAAGATGAATTCATATAGGAGTCTGCTTCTGTACATTTGTCAAATTTACAAACTGGCTTTTGATTTTCCTTGTTGAGATCAGACTGACTCTTGGAAGTTGAGTAAGTTGAATTTGGTGGAAGCACACCTGGAAAGAGAAAAGCAGTATTAATGCCATCGTTATTTTTTTTTCTTTCATAGTACCAAAGGTCTACAACCCCCCCCCCCCTTTTTTTTTCCTATTTCTGTATTATTTATTTTGAGCTTGGGTTTTACTGTTGTACAGGTAAAGCTTCAATTTGCAATTCTGCTTCAATCTCCCATAGTGCTGTGGTATAGGCATATGCTACTGTGCCCAGCTTCACCCATGGAGTCTTGGTCATTTGACATTTCCTTCTTATATCTACAAAAATTATATACTAAGGTAATTCATTTTTTTAAAAATGTACAAATCTACAATGAACTACAATTTAAGAATTTAATCTGTCCTACTGCTACTTTTTTTGTATAAAGAATTAAACCAGGTACATTGGCACATACTTATAATACCAGCTTACTTAGGAGGTTGAGGCAGAAGGATCATGAGTTCAAGGCCAATCTAGGCAACACAGTGAGACCCTATCTAAAAAAAAAAAAAGCTAAATATATCAGTTGATGAATAGTACTCAGTTGTAGAATCATTTTGCTAACATACATGAGACCCAGGGTTTGGTTTCCAACAACACAAAATAATATAGTAACAAATTAATGACTAAATTGGTGGGTGTACACCAGAGCAGGACAGCATGTACTCAGCATGTATAAAACCAGATTCTATCCAATGCCAGGGGGAAAATAAAAGGATTTATACACATTTAGACTGTTAAAGGCTCAATGTATAACTAGTACAATGACGCCTGAATGTTACTTTTTAAATTATGAAAAATACCTTTATTATACAATGCAACTGGAGGTGTGCTTTCCGTTCTGAGAACTTTTGCCACAGGTCTCACTGGACTATTTAGAGGACTGATGGCTTCTGGAATAGGCCTCAGCTGACTGAGGTCAATGCTCAAAACTGAGTTCTCATCATCATGATATACTGAATTTGTCTCTCCAGTGTCCATTCTGTGATTCATCAATTCAGTCTGCTGAAGTGAAGATGTTAAAATTTCTTTAGATATGCAGGGCTCCAAATGACAAGAGCTGCTCTCATTCAGAGGTGTATCTGTAAGAGAAGGCTTAAGTTTGGGATTATCTAGTTGTGAAGGATTTACTGGCAAAATGCTAGCTTCTTCAACCAAGGGTTGTAGAACACTTTCGCTGGTTTCAGCCACTTTAGTTGAGTGACCCTCTTTCCTTTCCATAGTCTCAGAAATATCACAAGAATTCAAATCATCATGTCCTTTGGTATCCAGTTCTAGGCCTAAGTTTTGAGAAAAGTCAGTTTTTAATACATTCATTACCACAGAATCTGCTACAGCTGCACCATCAATGGTTTTTCCCATTTCTGCTGTTGATGTAAACAAGGATTCTGTTTGTTCTGCTTCTACAGATGCGGAGGAAGTCTCTGGACCACAAATGGGCACTCCACAAGGTGTAGTATCCTCAACAGACTTAATAAGCAAACTAGTCTTTTCTGTTTTGCTTTCTGGACTACAGCTTCTGAGTTCAGATACTGCTGGAAGACCATCCTTTGGCTCTAGCAACTTTGATATGGTTTTCTCAGTGACATGTTCACTGACAGAGGGCACCCAAGTCACTGTTTCGGCCTGCACTGAGGACTCTGAACCACATATGTCATTAGCTTTAGAAGTTTCAGTTATTTTATAATGATTATCCTGACAAACGGGCTGCTTTTTAGCAGGAGAAAGAGTTAAGTTTAATTTTTCCATAAAACTTAACTTTAAGTCTTTATTTTTTGTTTCTTTTGTACCATTCTCAGCTTTCATTGCAAACTCTTTATTATCCATTCCTTCAGAAACTTCATTATTAGAGACTTCATCTTTATCATTTTTTGTCCCGTTCTGTTCCTTTAAATCAGTAGTTTTCTTAGTTTCTTTATTAGTCTTGTGCAAATGTTCTATAGGTGATTTTTTGTCGTTTTTCATATGCCGATTTTCTTCTTTATCTTCTCGCTCTCTTTTCCTCTTATCTTCATTTCTATGCCTCTCGGTTTTTAAAGGTGTATTTTCCCATTGGTGTGTACCATCAACGTCCTTCAATTCCACATGTTTATGAGCTCTACTGCTTGAAAAAGAAGATAAACATCTTCCAACTTGAAAATTATGACTGCTCAAGTTCCTGTTTCTTTTACAATCTTCCCTTCCTCTTCTCTCCTCTGGATGGTATTTACTGGAACTATGAGATTTTATTTCACTTGTAGAATGAAGAAGCGATGCTCGTTCAGATCTCCTCCAGTGATCTTGATCTTTTATTGCTGATTTAAGTTTTGGATCAACTTTTCTTTCTTCTCTGTCTTGTGATTTTAATTCTTTTCTAACTGTGTTCTGTAATCTTTCACTTTGTCTTTCTAGTTTTTTGTCATTTTGAGATTCTATTCGCACGTGTGACCTTTCTCTAGAGGTCTCTTTTTCCCAGGAAGAGCTACTACGTTCACTTTTATAGTCAAAATCTGTATTACTTTTGAACACTGAATATTTGCTTTCAGTCTTTGGCTCACCTTTACCATACTTCTCAGAATGCCCTTGTAGCCTTGGACTAGTCTCTGTGTTTCTTGGTTCCCCTTCACCAAAGTTATTACTTAAATCTTTTCGTATTCTATCAGTACCTCTGCCATACTGGCTATGTCTAGTGTCTTTTCTCCCTCTTCTATTATCTTCATTTGAGTTACCTTCACCCATCTGATAATGAGAACGTGACCAAATGCCATTTGTGCAGTGTTTCTCAACAGATGAAGGCAAATGTGAAGTATTCTTTTTTTCAGAATGTGATTTTCCTTCCTTTTCCAGGTTTGGCAGTGAAGTGTTATGATGTACATCTTTGGAAACATCACTTTTCACTCTGTGGTCAGTCTTTGAACAATCGTCCAAATGGGGAGACCTGGATCTAAGATCTTTTGTTCTAATTGCATCTGATGTCCTTGAAGTTTTATGATTATTTCGAAAATGAGAAAACTCAGACAATCTATTGAGAAATAAAAATTGACAAAAAAAGCAACATTAATAGATAATAATCCTTTAAATTTTATTCACATGTAGACCTCTCAATTTTAAGTGTCACATTTATATTCTGTATAAAAGAGTAACTGAGAGTAGGCATAGTTCCTTGTAACTACCATATACAAGGCCCTGAGTTCAATCTTCAAAACCCTGGAAAATAAATGTATTAATGAATGAATAAACAATAAATAATTATCAGTTTCTAGTTAAACAAGCCACTTAATGTAACCTTTATTTTTTGAGACAGTCTTGCCATGTAATTAAGGCTGGCCTTGAGCTTGTGTGATCTTCCTGCCTCTGAGTGCTAAGATCACAGGCATGCACCATCATAGCCAGCTATTTCTTACCTGCTTTGTTTTAAGGCAATCTATTCCTGAATTGAACAATCTGTTTTTAGACTTCCCTTACCACAGATGCACAACTCCCAACCAAAAAGTTCACTTCTTTTAGCAAGTGCCTTGTTTTCTTTCCCTCACTAACATCATCTTCACTAAATAAAAGGAAAAGTAAAATTTCAAATAACAGACATAGAGTATACTTTATAGAATTCAATAGCCTAGTCTTCACATATAATCCTGTAATAAGGCACAGAATCAACAGCCATCTTTTTTGTTTAGTTATTTTGTCCTATGAAACAGGGTGTTGTTATGTAGTATGGGCTGGCCTTGAACTCTCAATCCTCCTGCTTTTGCTTCCTCAGTCTTTGAACTGCTGGCACATGCTACCATACTCAATTTTTGGCAGCCACCTTAAAGTTGTACATACTATGCAAAAGTGAAGAATATAGAATTTTGATTGACTCTTGAGGAGAATAATGTATATTTACTATTTAAAAGAAGCCCAAGTTTTAAGATTCTGGAAAATTGGTACTTTGCCTAGCAATAAAATACACGTATTTCATTTTAGCTTTTTGTTTTCTTTTTTTGGTACCAGGAATCAAACTAAAGATCATGTGCTTGCCAGGCAGGTGCTGTACCATATCCCTGGCTCCCATTTTAGCTTTCTGTAGTAAGTTTATCTCACACTTCCATGTCAACCATTACTTATCTTCTTTTTTTTTTTTCTTTGAGGTACCGGGTATTGAGCTCAGTGCCTGTGCTTGCCAGGCAGGCGCTTATTCTGTTGAATTTTCTCCCTGGCCCTTCAACTATTATTTTTCAATAATCTATTCCTAATCAACATTAAATGTGGGGACACACCCAAATTAAAAAATTAGAAATAAGAGGAGGTGGTTATAAAGCCAAAGAAGACTTATGAAACACATAACCAAAAGCAACATGCAGCAGACTTTATATGGACTCATGAATAGAACTGTTCCTCCTATACCAACACATTTAAATTTTATTTATTTATTTATGTGTGTGTGTGTGTGTGTGTGTGTGGCCAGCTCAGCCCACCAGGGGGCGGGGCTGGCTGGCATGTGGTGCTGGGGGATTGAACTGCGATCCCTGTGCTTTGCTAAGCTTGTTCTAAGTAGGTGCTTTAGACCACTGAGCCATCTCACCAGCCCTATACCAACACATTTAGATGCTGTAGTTCTAACCTGCAATACTTCAGCAGATAACCTTATTTTCAGCTTACATGACTTTCAATTTTTCAATTCACTAAACATTAAGTTTCAACTAAAAAACATCTATTACTAGAATATAAGTCACAGTTCAGAGGTGTGAGAATCTGACAGAACATTTATGAAATAATGCATAACCAGCTCAAACCAACTAATGAAGTAACTTTTATCATTTTATTCACTGAGTTTTTCTTTTCTCACTGTACAAACTCCCTTCCCCCGATGACCCAAATATACAGAAACTTCCCCAACCATTCTAGAACCAGTCTGATGCTAAGTACATACTAAATAATTTTGCTTAGTAAATACAGATATTTTTTCTGTATTTATTTTCAAAAGGCCTAAAGAATTAATTTGTACACTGAGGTATCACCGTAATGTAAAATGGTCATTACAATGAGGCTGTCTTCAGTTACCCAATAAATAACTATCTAGAATATACCAGGCACTGTGGTAGGTACTTAAAAAAAATGGTGACAACAGATATGATCCCTACTCAAAGCTTTACAGTCTAGTGGAAGATACTAATTAAACAATTCCATTTGAAAAGTTAAAAATATATACGAAGTTACAAAGGAAAGAAGTGTGACCAATCAGAAAGAATAAACCAGTATCACCCAAGACCTGAAAATATATAGTATATATTTATCAGGTGAATGAGAACATCATTCCAGGCAGTAGAAACAGCCCACAGAAAGGTATACTGTATATTATCTCCAAGAATTGAAAGAATATAACACCTGGGGCCAAGGTAAGCACTGAAGGTAAGTTTGTGATGAAGTTTGGGACTTTACTATGAAGGGTATTGAAGGCAACGTTAAGATTTATGAACTTTTATCCTAACATCAATGAAAAACCATTGATATGTTTTAAATCTTGGGAGCTGAGATAATTTTTTTTCTAGTAAGATGTCCAGAACTTCTGCTTTGGAACATGTTCTGTGATTCTTTTATTTATTCACTTGTTTCTTTGGTACAGGGTTTCGCTATACAGCTCAGACTCACAGTGGGCCTCCTGTCTCAGTCTTCCCAGCACTGGGGTTACAGGTGTGTGCCACTATGTCCAGTTTTGGGGGTCAGCATGGTGTGCCTGGCACAGCATGTAGTACTGAGGATCAAATTTAGGTCCTTGTGCTTCCCAGGCAGGAGCTTAGACAACTGAGCTATCTCCCTAGGCTTGTTCTACTATTTAATACTGAGAAAAGACAAACCAAAGGCTAGACATGCAAACCAGGTGTGGTGACATACACCTGCAATCCCAGCACTCAGGAAGCTAAGGAGAATAGCTCTGAGTTCAGTGTCAGTGTATGCAACATAGTGAGTTCAAGGCCTGTGGGGACTGAACATACAGCAAGACTGCCAAAAAAAAAAAAAAAAAAGAATGAGGAGATATTCTCAGTGCTTAATATTTTCATACATTCAAAGATTGCTGCCAGTTCATAGCAGAGTAGATGGGCATGGACAGTGACAACCACAGAAAAGAGAATGATTGGAGATTAAAGGGATAAACATCAACTGAATGTGATTATAAACTGACTCTGAAAAGTGACTAAGACTTAAAGGACAACTCCTAGGCAGGTCAATCTTAGTATGTAAATGTTAACTACTCCCAAAAGTATCCTAGCAAGTGCAATACATTAAATGATTACCCTACACCTAGATGCTTATCTTACACTGATAGAATAAACGATAGGACAATGCTAGGGAACAATGGAAAAGGTTTCATGACAAAAAGGTTTGTCCTTTCTAACAATTTTTTTTCTAACAATTTTGAAAACCTTTCAAGACATTTATATGTAGATATTAAGGAAGTAGGTATACATACACATATAACTACATAAATGCAACTGACTTAGCATGAGTAAGAGTATCTTAGCAGAAAATACCACCCTGAATGTGCCCAATATATGCTTGTGCTTGGAAGGACTCAAAATTCAAAGCAATCAAGTACAGAAGAATAATCCTGAGTTATTAAAAAACTAAAAATCATTGTATCATTAAAGTCAAAGGAAGTGACTACTCAGAAAGTGAGGATCTATACTGCATCAAACAGTGTGCATGGGGATAATTAAATTGGAGGTCAAAACTATTTGATGAATTTAATTACATTCAAGTAATGGATGTTCTTACCATGACAGCTGCTTCTGTCAACCAATGGTGGCAAAAAGGAATGGATTAGGTTCAAAGCAAGTAAAAAGAAGCTGGATATAGTGGTACAAGCCTATAATCTCAGCTACTTGGCAGTATCAAGCAAGATAATCACACATTTGAGGCCACCATGGGCTACTGAATGAGATCCTGTCTCCCAAAAATCAGTAAAGACTGAAATGGAGCGCAGTGGCAGTGATTAGCAGGTATGAGGGCCCTAGTACTGAATTAAAAAAAAAAAAAAAAAAAAAAGAGGACAGAAAATGAAGCCGCAAGTTCAGACAGGCTCTTCAGAGATTTGGCTTTGAAGGGGAGACAACTTATGAACTTCACCAGAGCAGATTATTGTCACTGGCTGAAAAAAAAAAGGGAGTAAAATTAACAGAGAAAAGCCTCTTGAGGGAAAAGAACTGAGAGAGTTTTGGGGAAGGGAACTTGAGGATTAGACCCAGGGTACTCTACCACTGAGCTATCTCCTCAGTCTTTAAGTCTTTTGAGGCAGTCTTACTTAATCAAACTTGCAATTCTCCTGCTTCAGACTTAGCATTGAGATGACAGATGTGTGCTATGCACCCAGACTAGAAGGGCTGCTTAATTAACAAAGGCTGTGCGGCTGAGGAGATAGCTCAGCGGTCTAAGCACCTGCCTGGCAAGTGTAAGGAACCGAGGTTGATCCCTGGTACCACATGCTATGCCAGCCCCAGAACCCTGGATGTGCTGTGCTGGCCCAGGAACTGTGAGTGGGAGAGCACACCTATAATCCCAGCACTGGGGAGGCTGAGACAGGAGGATCACTATGAGCCTGAGCTGCATAGCAAGACCCTGTTTCTAACTTAAAAAAACAAAACAAAACAAAAAACCAACGGTTATGAGCACAAATGCTATTTTGGAGTGAGGGACTGAACCCAGGGCCTACTACAAGCTAAGCACGCCCTGTACTGCTGAGTTATCCCTGTCTCCCACCCCCTGTTCTCTTGGGATCTTAGTAATTTATGGACACAGAAGAACCCACAACGTAAACACCATCATCTCAGGGCAAATTAGTATACTAACACCCTAAAGTTTTAGATAACCGAATAAACTGAGAGACGCATGTGGCAATGGTGTATAAACCACTGGCATGCTAGTTACTATTCACATTAAAACCTTATTTAATGAAATAACATTTTTATCATCTACTGAAACTAAAAAATATTCTACATGTCAATATCCGTATGACTTATAATAGATAAACAACCCTTAGTTTTACCTTTGGTAAAGATTATTTATCTCTTCATCCTTGCGGTTTATTTCCACTCTGGCAGTTTTGATAAGTGCTGAAATATTCTTCTTAAGAGACTGGTTTTCATTTTTCAAGCTGAAATTCTAAAATATACATAAGATATATTAAAATATCTATCTATAGGATTATTAATATTACTTATATTAGCTAACAATTATCCAAGGACAACTGCATGCCAGGCAACACACATTTTATTTATATAATGATCAAAAAAGCCCAATAAAAATTATTATTGTCCCCATTATACAGAGATTGGGAAACTGAGATTCAGAGACAATGATAAGTACCAGAAAAACCCACATAAAGTGAAACTATGTAAGACGAGATCAATATATAAAAATAATAGCAGGAAGTGAGTCTTGCCTGCATCATTTTTTTAATTTAATGTATTTTAGTACAGGGTCTATAGGGTCTCACTATGTACATCAGACTCAGTGATTCTCCTGTTTTTAGCCTCCCAAGCACTGGGATTACAGGCAAGTGCCACCATGCCCAGTCTCAACTGCCATCTCAGTGTGCCCCAGGGGCGGGGCTGGCACAGCACACCAGGGCTCTGCCTAAGGAAGCGAGTCAGCTGAGCTATCTGGTTGGCCTGTACCCGTATCATTATTTTGAAAATTAAAACTGTCTGAACTACTTTGAACATAACAATATGCAATGTAACTTCTATTGCTGAATTCCTATCATCTTGTTTTTTTGAAATTCTGTATTGTTTCTAATGTTTTACTATTTTTTATTCTCTTGAAAATTAAAAAATAAGCTTGTGTGGTAGCACATTCCTGTAATCCCATCAAAACTTTAAAAAAGGGGCGGGGGAGATGGCTCAGAGAATAAGTGCTTCCCTGGCAAGTGCAAGGGTCTGAGTTCAATCCCTAGTTCTGCCAAAAAAAAACCCCCAAAAAAACCAAAAACAAAAAAAACTTCAAAAAAAATAAAGGTTCAGGCTGGGCATGGTGGGGCACCCTTATAATCTCAGTACTCTGGGAAGCTGAGGCAGGAAGATTATGAGTGTGAGGTCAGCTTGGGCAATTTTAACAAGGCCCTGCTTGAAAATAAAAAAAGGCTAGAAAGGTAGCTTAGAAGACACTGGGTTCAATCTCCAGCAGCACAAAGATAAAACAAAAACCTGTATTAAATCAGCTGCGATGGCCCACATTGTAATTGTACCACTTATGGGGTTGAGGTAAGATGATTATCAATTCAAGGACAGTATGAGCTACAAAGCACACTAAAAGCCAGCCTGTACTACTTAGTGAGAACCTGTCCCATTAAAACAAACAAAAAAGTTCTCAGTTCAGCAAATATACTAAAATTGGAAATGATACAGAGAAGATCAGCATGGCCCCTGCACAAGGATGAGAAGCAAAGTTGTGAAGCAGTCCATATTTTTTCCATGGAGTCTATAAATACATTCCTACCTGGAAAAACAAAATTAATAGAACAAAAATAAAATATTCACTACAACCCTACCTGTGTCTGTATTTCCTTAAACTTTTTCATCAGTTCTTTCATCTGCAGCTGACATTTTCCATATTCTACCTGTAACTGTAAAATACAAAAGATTAACGTGTCATTCTAAGGTATTTCCCCTTACTCACCATTAAGGTATGGTCGCGTTTGAACCCAAGGCCTTCAACTGAGCTATACTCCTTGACTTCTTCATTCTGAGACAGAGCCTCACAAAGCTGCTAAGACCCCAGGCTGCGCTTAACCTTGAGACTCTCTTGCCTAAGCCTCTCAGAATGCTGTTAAGTATTTTCTTAGATTAAATAATACTTCAGAATATTTACAAGTTTGCAAATCAATCCACTAAAAAGTTGTTGAGGTCTACTTTCATTAATAGACATTTAGTAACTTACTAGTTTTTAAAGTTCAGCCTATCAATTACATATTTGGTAAGTTTCATATTTAACCTCCAAACCTTAAAATTGAAATATAGTAGAAATTTGTCTCATTTAAGTCTCAGAACTTTTTACAGAAAATACACTATACCTTAGTACAAATCATGAAAAAAATGTTTCATCAGACCAAATGCTTCCTGAGGTTTTATATTATTGAGACACTTAAAACAGGCAAAACTGTCACTAAATTTAGAAAAATATTCAAAAAATATTAAAAGTAGGTTAATGTTTTAAAAGTAGGTCTGAAGGCAGAAGCTGTCTTAAATATTCTTGTAATCTAAGAACCAATTACTGAACACAGAATAGTAAGCTGCTACCTGTTCTCTAGGGGCTACAAAATAGTAAATAACTGTCTTTTGAAACTGTGGCAACCCATACATCATTTTATATTAATTTTTAAAAATTTATTTATGTGTGTATGTGTGTGTGTGTGTGGCCAGCTCAGCCCACCAGGGGGCGGGGCTGGCTGGCATGTGGTGCTGGGGATTGAACCGTGGTCTCTGTGCTTTGCTAAGCTTGTTCTAAGTAGGTGCTTTAGACCACTGAGCCATCTCACCAGCCCCACATACATCATTATATGTTGCTTCCTTTGCAGTTCCTTCTTCAGTCAAGATCTCTTCATACAAATCCAAACAATTTCTGGATGGTACACAGGATTTCGAAGTGCTGTCTAAAACAAACAAAAACCCTTACATTAAAATATTTGGTAGGCTTTTTGATGTGTCTACCTCAAAAGAATGATAATTTCTCCATTTTCTACATTTTATCCAAACCACTGATTTCACAATGACGGCTGCAATAACAGTTACATAAAATGGTTGTGCCAACAAAGCATGTGATCATGTTTTTTCAAAATGCTGAAAGATCTGATTATAGAAATGGTTCCCATGGGAAAGATTGTACATGGAGATAGGTCCTTATACTCACTGAATATCATGCTTCATGCTTACTGCTACACTTGAAAATATCTATAGTTATAACACTTCAAATATTCTGTGACACAATGAGCATTAACATATATAGACAACAGCACTGGCTGTATTTCAATGGTATAAAATGCTTTGGTACAAGGTCCATTTAAATCTGAGACTTAGATGAATAACAAACCTGTATTCTAATCTGTTTTACAGATCAAGCTTTGGGTCAGAAAATTACCTTAGTGTAATTATTTCAAAGAATAAGCAAATGTAGGCACTCTGAGGTTACTACACTGAATTGATATCAACAAAGCAAACAATAAACTTACCAAATAAAATGAGATTATCTTATGGAACTTACATACCAGCGACAGCACTGTCCAACCCAGCATATATGTCCAATGAGCCTTCATCATTATTTTTGAGAGGAGAAGCTATGACAAGAGCAAAGCCTGGTTAAAATTATTTTGTAATTTTATAGTAATGAGATTTTTCCATTCCTACCCCAATGCACCAGGAAGCATTCAAAAAACACTTTTTTTTTTTTTTTTTTTACATACTGTATTTAAGACCAAGAAGATTTTGGCACAAAGATTTATAACTTGACTACACATTTAGACTTAAATCCTGTGTATAAGTGCTAACACAAAATATTAGAAGCTACTTGAAGAGCCAGAGAGCAACCCAAGCAGGCAAAACCCAAAGGAAAGGGCAAGGTCCCTGATTTGATCCCCAGCACCTCAGAGACAAAGCAACAACAACACACATCTTGATGGGGAAATAATTTGTCTGAGTTCCTTGTCCCCTTTGCACTATTCCTTTTGTTGAAAGACAGGTCCTAGGTTGCCCTAAGTAGAGCTACATTAGGCAGTTATGGAAACTGCTAGTTCTAATAGCCTGAAGAATGAGAGGAAAGACTGAGGCAATAAGAGCAACTAGAAGGGGAAATCCCGAGAGCCAAGGCAGGGATTCTTCACATTCTGTCCCATGTATCTGTGTGGTACACACAAAGCACAGTACTCCAGAAAACCAGCTAAACGTAAAATATCTGAACGGAGATTTCAGTTGCTATCTACACAGGGAGATAAAAGTGTTAAGTTACACAACTCTTAAAATTAAAAATAACAACTGCTATACCTCAGAGAAACATAAAAGACTCCAGTGTTGCTGTTCATGTTACAAATACAATACAAAACTACTACATTACAGCAGAGAAATAGAAACTGTACAAGAACATCACTGGATATGCTTGACAGAAACACCAATGGGCTAGGTAGACAAAGAGAAATTATCTGATCTGTAGAGCAGAGAGAAAAAAAATGAGTCTTAATGATTTCAGGATATGACGATTCTCACATAAAGCACATCTGGACTCCAGAAGCAAACAGATAATGGGGGAAAACAGTATATTAAACATACTAAACACTGCTATAAGGACTCTCAATACAAACTGATAAAATAATTGAGTAAATACAAAAGATTAATTTTTCCTCTTATTTTAATTCTTAATTACATTAAAATACACAGAGATCTGTTTAAAGTGAAAATTACAGCCTTTAATTATAGCAATTACAATACTGTAAGACTTATGACATACAGATGTCATATTTTAGAGCATGATACAAGACAAATATGGGGGCCGGGGAGATGGCTCAGTGGAATAAGCGCTTCCCTGGCAAGTGCAAGGGGCTGAGTTCAATCCCTGGTTCTGCCAAAAAGACAAATACAACTAAAAAAAGTCTATTTCATATGAAAATGTACAATACTAGTAAAGAGACTACATAATGTTAAATCTGTATAGTAGTCCCTTGAACAGTAACGCAGAGAGAGAAAACCAAAAGGTTCATTTGTGTAAACTGAAATGGAATTAAAAAATACATTCTAAGTAGGGTGTATATGGCGACTGTCACTATTTTAAAAATGTACAAGCTGGGGATACAGCTCAGTGGCATAGCACTTGCCATCATATACAAGACCGTCAGTTCAATCCCTAACACAGCAAAATACAAAACAAAACACCCAGCCATGTATGTGAACAGGGATCTTAGAATAAAAAGAAATGGGCCGGGGAGATAGCTCAGTAGAATGAACGCTTGCCTGGCAAGCACAAGGGCCTGAGTTCAATCCCCAGTTCTGAAAAAAAAAAAAAGAATACAAAGAAATGAAAACAGTTGTTATCAATGTTGTTTTGTCTTTCAAAATTTAATAGAATTGTAGACATGATATATTCAATCATTTGTCAATCTAGATGAAAAATAAACCCGTCATTATACTTTGTTTTTCTGTTGGTTTAAATTTTTTTCCCCAAAAAAACTCCCCAAAATAGAAATAGCAGCATAACAACTTGAAAATACATCAGCAAAAATATTTAACACCACATAATACTACTCAGTGTGGTTGTGATGGCCTTTGCCTATTTATGAATACTGATTTTTCAAAAATAATTCTGGGGGGGCCGGGGAGATGGCTCAGTGGAATAAGCGCTTCCCTGGCAAGCTCAAGGACCTGAGTTCAATCTCCGGTTCCACCAAAAAAAAAATAAATAAATAAATAAATTGTGGGGATAAAATTCAGAGCTTCAATACGCTATGCAAATATTTTAATACTAAGCCACATCTCCAGCCATATAAACAATAATTTAAAAAAATTAAAGTAAAAAGAAAATTCTACTACATGTACCACCATGCTGCCGAGGCTAATCTTAAACTCAAGGTCCCCGTCTCAGTCTCCTAAATAGCTGGGATTATTGGTATGTTCCACCATGTTTAATCTCAACGTGCTTTATAAGTGTCCCTTTCATTATACAGCACACTACTCATAATTCTTGTCAACAAATACATCTATAATCTAAACAGATTTAATGAGGTCACAACATAATTATAATTAAAAGAACTGAATAAATGTTAAAATAAAGGGCTAGGAATATTGCTTAATGGTAGAGTATCGTGTAGCATGCAAGAGGCCCCAGGTTCCATTTATACTTAATAAATAAGCACACAAATTAATAAATATGTTAGAATTTGAAAACAAGAGTCAGCCAAATAGCTCAGCAGATTAAAGCGCCTGCAAGGGGGGGGTTCAATCCCCCAGGGCCTGCCATGCTGGCTCTGCCCCCGGGGCACACTGAGAGGGCAACTGAGAGTGGGTGTGTGAGCTTGCGTGTCTGAAATCCTAGCTCCTGGGAGGCTGTGAACAGGCGGATCACAACCTGTAGACCTTTCCCTAAAAAATACACACACACACACACAAAAAAAAAAGAATTTGAAAACAACTCCTGGATATTAAAGTTGTTTGTTTTGAGACAAGGCCTCACTAAGTAGTTCAGGCTAGCCTCAAACTCAGTGGTCTCCTGCTTCAGCTGCCCAACTGCTGGGATTACAGTAACATACCACATGCTTAGTTCCCCTGCCCCCCCCCCACCCATGTTGTGGATTAAATTTAGAACCTTGTGAATGCAACACAAGCACTTTACCACTGACCTATATCCCCAGCCCAAAGCATTTCTATTTAAGGGTAGGGATCTAGCTCTGGGGCAGAATTGCCTAGCATATCTATAGCCTTAGATTCAGTTCTTATCACTAAAACAACACAATACAAGAACAACAAAAAAACAAATCTCATAAAACAAAAACTATTTTATGAGCTATTTTGGGTTCTTTGAGAGACACAGTCTTGCTATGTTGTTCAAGGTGCCTTGAACTTGTGGTAATGCTCCAGCCTTAGCCTCTCAAATGCTGGAATTATAGTACACACTGCCATGATCAATTTATAAGTTTATTCTATTACCAGGTCTTGGTTTTCTCTTTTTTTATCCTAATCTTCCTTTGTGACTATCACAACTACATTTACTACAATATCTATTTTGGATATAACAGAAGTTACTACAAATTTGCAAAATTGCTAACTTGCTCATACTTAGAGGCTTGAAAGGATATAAGAAGTGCATGTAAGCATAGTGGTGTTACCTATAATCCCAGCCACTCAGAAGGCTCAGGTAGGAGGATCACTTGAGTCTAGGAGTTTGAGGCTAACATGGGGAACGTGGGAGACTCCATCTCAAGCAAAAAACAAAAACAAGACCACCAACAACAATGAAAAACCAAGCCAAAGCAAAAACACCAAAACAAACCAAACCAAACCAATCCAGACACACAGTCAGGTGTGGTGGCACTGGGCAGTGATCCTCGCACTCTGGGAGGCTAAGGTGGGAATACCACAAGTCTGAACCCAATCTGGGCAATTTAACAAGATCCTGTCTTAAAAACTAAAAAGGGCTGGGGAGGTAACTCAGTGCTAAGGCCCTGTATTCAATTCCCAGTACCCCAACTAACAGCAAAAGAAGAAAAAAATAGATAGCTGGGGATGGAGCTCAGTGGTAGCTGCTTGCCTTAACCAGCACATGGGAGGTGAAGCCCCAGGTTTATTCTCACCACCACAAAACAAAATAAAACAAAGAAAAACAAAGCTCACATTTACTAAGCATTTGTTGTGTTCTATGCATTGTACTGTATTAATTTACTTATGTATGTGTGGGGTGTAGTTTCTCACGAGAATAAATGCTTTGTAATTTTAAAAAGTGATGCTGGGCTGTAGTTCAGTGGCAGTGTATGCTTAGCATGTGCAGGGTCCTGGGTTCAATTCTCAGTACAAAAAATTTAAAAAACAAATAAAAGTGAACTTAGAAAGACAATTGAAAGCCTTACCAGAAAAGACATCAAATAAACTTGTTCCGTCACCATTGTCATCATCTGCTGCCATGATCCTATTTCCTTTTGATAGCTGCCATCTAAAGTAGTAAATATAAAGATTTTCCACTGTTAAAATCAACCGTACAATTCACAGAATAAACCCAGCTTCACAGTAAACCTAAACTTTGGAAACATCAAATGAACTCACTTTCTACCATACTAAAAGGCAGACTTGTGGTAAAAAAAGAAAGCCTAATGTTTCCCAAGCAAAACATAAAATCATAAAATGAAAACATTAAGATTGTTCATATGGTGAAGCACATTATTTTAGAGTTAAGCACAAAGTAAACAATGCTAGTTTTATAAAACACACCAAAATGCATTAGTAGGCACAAGGCCTTGTGTTTGATACTCTCTACCATGGTGGGGGTGGTCACAAAATACAAATAACTTTACACTAACCCTCACTATCATTACTAACATATACACACATATTAATTAAAAAGGGCCAGGGAGATGGCTCAGTAGAATAAATGCTTCCCTGGCAAGTGCAAGGTCCTGAGTTCAATCCCTGGTTCCGGGGGAAGAAAAAAAAAATAAAATAAAAAATGTTTTTCCCCAGATAGGATCTCACTATGTAGTTCAGTTCAGCCTGGCCTGGAACTCATGGCAATTCTCCTGCCTCAGCCTCCCCAGTGCTGGGATTACAGCTGTATATCCCCATGCCTAGCCCTTTCACGTGTTACTATTAACCAGAAATATACACACAAATTAAAAACCCACTTAGACATAAAAGAAGAACAGATAAAAGACACTTAAAAATGCTTTTAGAATGAAAAGATGTTCAGCTTCAAATATACAAAATGCAAGTTAGAACAATGAGATACCAAGTGTAGAAAAAGCTCGACTTCTTGGCTTACAAAGGCCTTTGCTTATGCTGTGTGGTGGTGTATACCTATTAATCCCAGCATTCATAAGGCTCAGGCAGGAAAACCATAGGCCAGCCTGGGCTCCTTAGTGAGTTCAAGGCCAGCCTATAACACATCACTAGACCCTGTCTCAAAAGATCAAAATTAAAACCAAAACAAAAACATCAAAAGACTTTGACTAGAGTTTACAATTTGGATTTAGAGTTTCCACAATTTCCAGAGCTGATAAAAAGTGGCTCACAGTGCCTAAACTAGTTATACAACAATATACTAAGCAATGTGCCTTCCTTCTGGGAATCTCAAACTTCCTAAGTGCCAGGCAAGAGCAGCCTATGTGACCAGTCCTCAATAAAAACTTTAGGCAATAACTCTAATGAGCTGCCCTGGCAGACAACTTTTCATGAATATAGTCAAAAGTAATTGCAGAGGGAATGAAGAGCATCATGTGTGACTGAACCAGGAGCAGAAACTTGGAATTTCAACCTGCTTTCCTCTAGATGTCATTCCACAGGCCTCACTTCTCTTTACTAAGAGTTTTTCGAGTCTTTTCACTGTAATACAATGTACCTGTGACTACAAACTATATGGTGAATTCTGTAAGTCTTCTTTAAATCAGCAATTCTGGATGTGATCTTGAAGACTCTTGACATGGTGTGATAAGCAAACTATAAACAAATGCAACAGTAATTTGACGAAGGTCTCCTAATACCTTTATCATCATTTTCCACATTTGTATTAATCCACTTTATGTCTAGCCTGTGTTTTACTCTCATATAAACACAAGAACAACACAACCTATCCAACCAGGCTTGGTGGTACACCCCTATAATGCCAACATTCTTGGAAAGGGAGGCAGGAGAATCACAACACTGAACCCAGAGTAGGCACTATAACAAGACTCTTTTGTCTCAAGAAATAAAAAGGGGAAGGGATGTCGCTCAGTACAAGAAAGTCCTGGATTCAAGCCCCAGCTCCACAAAACAAAACAAAACCAAAAACAAAACTAAACTCACTAACCAAAACAATCAAATTAAGCTTCCCTAGAACAAAACTCAGTATCTTTCCACGAAGATGTCTCGTTGCTTTTGTAATTCTCATACTGTTTCCCTTACCTATTCCATTCAAACATAAAATAGTCTGTTGCCACAACTAGTTCACATAATGCAAATCAGCTTATGCATTACTGAGAAATAGGGAATGTCAGTATGATTGTACAAATTGTTAGCTTATACAGTATTCTTCCCAGGATATTAAAATTTTGCACCACTGGACTGGGGATGTAGTCCAGCAGTACAGCACTCACCTAGCATATTCAAGACTCTAGGTTCAAGTCCCTAGCCCTGCAAAAAATAATTGAAAATAAAAATTTTGCACCATTAATCAATATAGGCTAAATAGAGCAAGTCCCCCTCCAAATCAAGCTTTCCATGTAATTCTCTTAACTTAAGATACTCATCACTCTTTTTATTCCACTTAACTAATAAAGGTAGGCTTTTATTTTACCAGGGCCTAAGCCTGCTTTTCCTCAATCTTTGTGCAAAAATGAACAAGAGGGGCCTGGGGAGATAGCTTGGTGGTCTAAGTACCTGCCTGGCAAGCACAAGGACCTGGGTTCAATCCCCATGTACCATAAGTCATGCCAGCCCCAGAAGCCCGGGTGCACCATGCCAGCCACCAAAACCAGGCATGGTGGCACATGCCTGTAACCCCAGCGCTGGGGAAGCTGAGACAGGAGAATCACTAGGAGTCTAAGCTGCATAGCAAGATCCTGTACCAAATAAGCAAGCAAGCAAGCAAGCAAGCAAGCACAATAAGCCAGATAAATCCAGTCAGTCATTTTGCATACAATCTGCAACTACCTTTACATATGCAACTTCTAATGCCCCTCTCTCCTTGTCTCTATAATTCTACAGTCTCTATCCTCCTTCATTCTTCCCTTAATTAAGCTATCTTTACCTTTATTTATTTATTTTTTGGCGGAATCGGGGATTGAACTCAGGTACTTGTGCTTGTCAGGGAAGCGCTTATTCCACTGAGCCATCTCCCCGGCCCCTCCTTTTTTTATTTTGAGGGAAAGACCTATACAGTTATCTCTCAGTCATAGGGATTATTTTCTGGAACCCCTTTTACCAATACCTAAATCCACAAATGCTCATGTAAAATGAAATATTACTGTATTTGCATATAACCTACCCACATTCTCCCATACTTTAACTGATCTTTAGGTTACATACAATACCAGACACAGTATCAATGCTATGTAAATAGCTGTTATACTTTATTGTTTAGGTAATATGGTAATTACAAGAATTAAATCTGTACAGTATAGACACATAGAACCTGTGCTTAGAGGGTTGACTATACTTCTTGGAGTATTACGAACCTATTAAAAAAAAAAAAACAACTTGGGTTTGGGGTGTCGCTGCTGCAGCCGCCACCTCAGGAGCTGGTGAGCGGTCCATGTGGTCCCAGTGCACCGCGCCTGAGGCTGGGGACCCGGGAGCAACACAGTGTGCAGGGTGGCCAGTGGCCTGTCATCTCAATTAAGTGGTTTGATGAGGGAAAAAAAGAAAAAAGAAAAAAAAGAATCTATTGTGTGGAAGTGGAGGAACTAGTACTGAGCTATATTTTCAACTCTTTCTTTTAAGACAGTATCACTAGGTTGCACAGGTGGGCCTTGAAATTGTGGTCTTTATCTTTTAAACAAAGTCAGTATTTTAAATGTTATTGCTGTTTGTGCTCTAGTAATATATGCAGGTGGGTCTTGGGTATGCTACTTGTTTTTGTTGTTGTTGTTGTTGTTTGTTTGTTTTTGATGGAACCAGGGATTGAACTCAGGCCCAAGTGCTTATTTTACTGAGCCATCTCCCTGGCCCCATGGGTATTCTACTTGTATTTTCTTCACAAACCTTGTTTTGGTAAATTATTCTATAGAACTTACAAGTTTTAAATGAAGAATTCACACACACACACACACACACACACACATCCATCTTGGGGCTAGGGGTCTAGCTCAGTGCTAGAGTGTGTGAATAGCAGCATATACAAGATGCATAAGGTCCAGTTCCAAAAAAAAAAAAGATGCACAAGGCACAGGTTCAACTCATATTCCATCCTCATATAAAAATAAAATACTGGATAAGAAATGTCTACACGTCAATTCCTAAAATATTCCATGTATCTCAACTCCACAAGGACTTGCTATGCTCACTTTGTTTATTCTGAATGCTCCTCTCCTTTCCATCTAATCTCATTCACTTATTCTATCAATACAATGAACATGTTTTTATAGCATTTAACAATCTCTAATGCAATCAATCATCTGCTTTCTAAACCAGTTGTTTCTAGACTATATCTGGAAAAATTAAAATACTAGACTGATAGGCTCTAACCTCAAAGTTTCTGATTCAGAAAATCTAGGATTAGGGGCCGGAGAGATGGCTCAGTGGAATAAGCACTTGCCTGGCAAGCGCAAGGGCCTGAGTTCAATCCCCGGTTCTGCCAAAAAAAAAAAGAACATCAAGAATTAGATTTGAGAATCTATATTTCTGTTGCTTACAGTACTAACAAAATGTTCCACAATGATAAGAATGTTTTGTCTGTTCTGATACAGCAGCTACAAGACCACATGCACAAAATATGCAGTATATTCATTAGTTTCGTATTGCTACTCTTAACAAAGCATTACCAACAGAAGCTTAAAAAATACCAATTTGTTATCTTTCAATTCTAGAGATAAAAAGTTTCATTTGTCACAAACCAGGATGTCAGCAGGGCTACAGTCTTTCTGAGGGTCATAAGGGGTAATTTGCTCTTCCTGTTTTCTAGTTTCAAGGAGCTGCCTACATTCTTTGGCTGGTGCCTCCTTCATCTACCACAAAGCTAGTAATGTACCTAACACCTTCTTTCTCATTCAACCTCTGCTTTCACAATCTCATTTGCTCTTCTTCTGTCTACTTCTGTCATCACATGACTTTGGTAACTTCTACTCCCATCTTCCTTTTATAAGGATCTATGTGAATATACTGGGGCCACCTGGAAAGTTCAGGGTACTTTTATTCCAAAATCCTTAATTTAGCAGGATGTGGTATTACACTTCTATAATAATCCCAGCATCATGGGAGGTTGAGGCAGGAAGATTACAAATATGAGCCCAGCTTGGATAACTTAACAAGACTTTGTCTAGAGCTGTAACTTTAGCATGAGGACTCTTGAGTTTACTCCCCATCGCAGTAAACTCAGGGAGATAGCTGGCTGGGGAGACAGCTGAGTGGCATAAGTGCCTGCCTGGCAAGTGCAAAGTCTTGAGTATGATTCCCCAGTACAAAAAAAGAAAAAAGAAAAAAGAAAAAAAAAAAACCAAAAATCCCCATTCTCTCTCTCTCTCTCTCTCTCTCTCTCTCTCTCTCTCTCTCACACACACACACACCCCAAACTTAATCACATCTGCAAAATCTCTTTCACCATAAAATAGGCAGCATATTCACAATACCCAGGACTAGGTGATGAGCATGTATCAGGGCCACTATTAGGCCTACCACACTGAAGAAATAATTTTAAATTTTTAATTAATAATTTAAATAAATATACATGTATGGCTAGAAGATACTTGGATAACACAGACCATGAGCTACCTGAAGGGATCAAGTTGTATAAATATTTGTATTTCTCATACTTAACATACATTCATAAACACTGGGGACTTCACAGCTGTAGTCTCAGCACTTGGGAGCCTAAGGCAGAGGGACTGCCCTGAATTCCAGGCCAGACTGCACTACAGTGACAGTGAGGCCAGTCTAAACTACATAGTGAGACGCTGTCTTAAAAAATATAAAAAACAAAATGAAACATAAAAAATCCTTCATAAATACTCCTAAATAACCAGGGAAATCAGCCACAAAAGAGTAGATTGGGTAGGGAAGATTATTAAAGAGTTAGTACTAAAGGCATAGATAGCTTGGCGGTCTAAGCACGTGCCTGGCAAGCCCAAAGACCCAGGTTCGATCTTGGGTACTACATGTCATGCTACCTGGCCACCAAAACGAGGCATGGTGGCACGCACCTATAGTCCTAGAACTGGGGAGGCTGAGACAGGAGGATCACTACTAGTCTAACCTGCATAGTGAGACCCTGTACCAAACAAATAAAAGATTAAAAGAAAAAATAAATCAGCTAAAACATGTCTATCCATTAACTGAAGCTCTGTTTACTCATAAAGAGGATCCCACTGGTCCCAAAGCTCATTTGGGTTCATTTACTACAAAAACTCACATCTGAAGGACTTCAGAGGTGTGTTTATCATCATCTCAGTAACATAATTAAAACTATCTTTTGGGAACTTACCAAAATATATTTAATAGTTCTCTAAGGTGATACATTTATATCAGTACTGTGGTACCTCAGTTTATGAACTTAACTTGTACCACGATTTTGGAAAAGATGTCATGTTTGTGTTTGTGCAAGAAAGAGGGCTGCAGTCATGTGTCACCCAACATAGTTTGCAAGCAAGCAGAAAATTTTGTCAAATGCTTTTCTTTGAGAACCAGTCATACCATATGAAGCAATGGAAAAGCAAAGACATGATTAATTATCTGTCTAATATTCAGATAAAGATACATAACACAGCCGACACAGTGTATTGCACAAGAGACCATATTTGGCTGGGGAGACAGCTCAGTGGTCTAAGCACCTACATGGTAAGCACAGGGACCTGGGTTCAATCCCCAGCACTGTATACCATATTAGCCCTGCCCTGGGCGCACCGCGCTGGCCACAGAAACCAGTTGGGGTGGTCTACCCAGTAATCTCAGTGCTGGGGAAGTTGAGACAGGAGGATCACTATGAGTCCAACTGTGTACTGAGACCCTGTACCAAATACACAAAATTTAAAAACAAACAAATAAATAAAAGAGACTGTATTATGATTTGGAACTCATCAGCATTGTGGTGACATTTTAGTTACACTGTTGAAATCACAAAGGCCAGTGATTCTCAGGAAAAGAAAAGACAAAGAAGATAAGTAGGCACAGTATTAAGAATGTTTTGGGAAGAGGAATGTTTTTATACTTACTCTCACCTTCTCCCATTTTATATTCTCAACATAGAACGAGTTAGTACTAAAGGGAGTGGTGTACCTGTGAAAAGCATAGAGGCAAAATTTTAAAAGTTGAGTACTGTAATGTATGAGTTGCTGGGCTGGGTGTATAGCTCACAGGCAGGGCACATATGTAGCATGTGCAAGTTCCTGGGTCAATTTCCCATGTGCATGTGGGCACATATGCACACATATAATTGAAGCTCACTTATTCATATGTATAACGTTTTTTTCTCTTTCTTTTTTTCTGGTACGGGGGCCCCACACATGCAAGGCAAATGCTCTGCTACTGAAATACATACCCAGTCCTTTTTAAGAATTTGAGACTGGGTTTCACTAAGTTGCCCAGGCTGGCCTTGCAATCAATCCTCCTGCCTCAGCCTCCTGAGTAGCTGATGTGTGTCACTGTGCTCAACTAGCCACGGAACTTTAATGTATTCAGATGTGACAAAGTAGAGGAGAAAAAGAGCATCTATTATTCTGTGATAGAACAATTTCTTAAAAGGCACCCTAAAAGGAAATTTTAAACTGAGGGGAAGATGCATTTGTTACACCCTGCATTTTTAGGCTTCCAAAAATGTGAGGTTGAAATACCAAGAAAAATTGTTATATACTACACATTTACTATGTGCCAGCTACCGACTGACTAAACACTCTACATTAACTTACACTGAATCAAGTCAGATAAGGCCCATATTATTCTTTATTCTCCATTTTACTGGTAAAGAATCAAATGATTTACTCAAGAAAATTTGCCCAAGGGAGCTGCTAAGTGGTAGAGCTCAGATTATGTTCTCTAGGCCTATCTCTAAAGCTAGATGACAAAAATCAATGATATTCTTTTAGAGTTTAAATACAATTTTAAAGGACATCACCTCACCTCTTGTAAAACATCAGGAAATAGTAAGACAAAGTAATTCGAGGAGACAGAGGAGATTATAAAGAATTCTTGCCCTGCCGTAGATGGTCTTAGGAGATGTGGTGGGAAGGGTCTTTAGGACAGGCAAAAAGGGTTGGGTCTAGAGCTGTGGAGAAGACCAGGGCAGTCGAAAAGTCAGTCAAGGCCAACTTGATCCTGAAGCAGAAATGCTGACATTCCACGAATTCTACATTCACACCTTACTCTGTGTCAGAGATGACTCTACGTATTGTAGAGATCAAGATGCAAACAACCAATATTGGTGATCATCTGACAGCCAGGGAAGGGCACTTCTCCAGAAATATCCCCCCTCCCCGAAATCTTTAGGAGTGTGTACCTAAGCGAGCTTGCAAAGGGCGGGGGAGGGGCGAGACGGGACGGATCGCAAGGGCAGTCCTCTTTGGGGGCAGTCCTTTTGGGGGCGCTCCCAGCCTCCTCCCGGACCCTCTCCGGGGACCACCGAGAGAAGCGGAGTGCGAGCCCAGAAGCTGCAACCGCGGGCGGGGAAGAGCGCGGCTACCTGCGGCCCCCGGACGTCAGGCGCCGTCCTTGCCTCACCGACTTGGGCCGTTCCAGGTGGACTCCCTTGGACTCTCTGGCTTCCCAGGTGAGGCCAGCCTCCGTTTGGAACACTACTGCACCATGTAGCCCGGTCCCCTGCAGCCCAGTGCCGAGCGGGTCCCCACAGCAACTTACCCGCCCAGACCGGCCCAAGAGAGCCTGGGCTCCTTTCTGGACACTGAGGGCTCTCTGGCATCTCCACCAATAGCAGCGCGTTATCAAGACGCGGAGGCGGGACCAAGCGCTCATGGCCAATGATATCAGACGCAAAGCACGTCCCGGCGCACACATCTAGTTCCCGCCTTTGGAAGGGAGGAAAAAAAAGCCAGTTCGCGCCAAACTCCCATAGTCTTCCGTAGGAACTAAGGAAAGGGGCGGTGCGTAATGTGGCGGGGACGGTAACGGGGTGTAACTTTACTGCGGAAGGGGCGGGACCCCTGGGCGGAAGTAGGGTGAAATCTCGCTTAGCGCTTTATTGAAAGGGAAAGTAACTTCTTTAAAAGGAGAAAGGAACCTCTTAGAAGGCAGTATCTCGTTAGCAACCTAGGATTGGAATACAGAGTTGGGGTGTAGTTCAGTGTAAGGTACTGGTGTGACTGGTCCTCAGCACTCAAAAACGAAAAACAAAAACCCCACACAATTTCTAAATACTGTTTCCCCTCTGCGGGGATTCCATTGTGTGAAAGAGTCCGCTCCAGAGGATGAAGATGAGCAGGATGAAGGTTGACTTACTTTCTCATTCCCAGGACAAAATACCCAGCAAAGTTAAAGGAGGAAGGGTTTATTTTTGGCTCCCGGTCTTCAGAGGTTTCAGTCCATAGTTGGCGTGCTCTGAGGCGACATGGCATTGCAGAGGAGTAAAAGCTAAGCAGGAAGCAGACAGAGATGCAGAGAAGAGCAGAAAGGGGTCCCAGGCAACATTCCTAGCGACCCACCTCTTCTGGTGAGATCCCACCTCCTAGCAGCAAGTCACTTGTAAACCCCACCATCCAGTCGCCTTCCAAAAACCCCACCTGTGAGCCTAGGAAGTTTTGGGTGACATTTAGGTATAAACCATAACACAGGTGGAGGAAAATCCTTGTAAAGTAGTCAATATAATGTGATACTCTGTGGTAGCTAAGGTTAACATTTCCAGTGGTAGCAATACAGTATAAAAGTTCTTTTAATCAAATAATTTACTTGAAAGACGGGATGAGACGGTGCATGCCTGTAATCGCGGCACTTAGGAGGCTGATGCAGGGGCCTCCTTGTGAGTTCAAGGCCAGTCTGAGCTACATAGTTGAACTATATAGCAAGACCCTATCTCAAAAATACCCCTCCCTTAAAAAAGAAATTTACATGAAAGTACTCTGGAAAATTCTGTCTATATCAACAAGTGGATCTAGTACTAGATACAGATGACTGCCAATTTTGGCTGCTCCTCCACTGACAAGTGAGCAAAAAACCCTTCCTTTTCAATCTAGGATGGATTTAGTGAGTTGCTTGGCCAGTAAAATGCAAAGTGAGGTGTTCCAGAACTTCTAAGATTAGGACATCATAACCTTGGCAGCTTCTACCCAGGCTTTCTGGGACAGCCAAAGTCTGGGAAACTGAGCTGTCATGTAGGGATTGCAGTTGACAGTTCCATTGTCAACTGTCCCTTCAAGGTACCAAATGTGAATGAAGTCATTTTGGACCTGCTAGACTGGCCTATCCATCGCTCAATATGACTGCATGTCTTTAATCAGTACCTCATGGAACAGAAGAATTCCCCACCTGAGCCTGGTTCAAATTCCTGGTTCCTTCCAAATTACAAAATACTATAAAATGGTTTAGCACTTTGAGGAATCATTAAACATTAAGGCAATTTGTTACATAGCAAGGATAATTAGAATAGTAATAAATGACCAAATACAGACAGTTTTATTAAAGTTATTGTATTAGGGGCTGGGGAGATAGTTCAGTAGAATCTCAGTAGCGCAAGGGCCTGAGTTCAATCCCCAGTTCTGGGGGGGGGGAATATATATATATTGTAAGGGGGCCAGAATATTTGATGAATTTAAATTAGTAATCAGCTTCCTTTACAGACTATAGCTAATTACATTCCCTTTAATGTTTTAAGTTGTACTGATATATGTAATATATTTAAAAACACTTCAGATACTATCAGATACTTTATCAAGATGACATAAAAACATGGATTAGGAAAACATTCGTAGTTGGGCATGGTAGCATGCACCTGTGATTCCAGCTACTCTTGCTTGGGAGACTGAGGCAAAAGTGACCTGAGCCCAGGAGCTAAAAGCCATCCTAGATAACATAGGGAGATCCTAACTTTTTTGAAAAGGCTGAGAGTATAGTTCAGTGGTAGAGCCATGGCCTACCATGCATGAGTCCCTGGATTTAATTCCCAACAATGCATAAAGAAAGCACAGAAAAATATATGATTTATTTATTTATTTGTTTATTTATATTTTAGGGACGCGTCTACAGGGTATTCAGGGTCTCACTACTAGATTGAACTCACAGTGATCTGCCTGTTTACAGCCTCCCAAGAGGTGCGATTACAGGAGCACACCACCACGCTCAGTCTCAGTTGCCATCTTAGCATGGCCTGGGGGGCAGGCCGGCACAGCAGGCCCTGGAATTGAACCCCTGGCCCCTGCACCTGCTTGCAGGAGCTTTAATATGCTGAGCTATTTGGCCGGCCCTTTACTTATTTTTTTGAGACAGCGTCTCACTTTATAACCCAGGCTGCCATTGAATTTACAATCCTTCTATTGTGTACCATCACACCCAACATAAAATTTACTCTTAAAAAATAAGCATTCCTTGATACTTAAGCACCTCATGTAATACTAGTAAATGTAGCAGATAAATGTAATAAATCTCAAGATTTTTTTATAAATATATTTTTTAAACATTTATTTATTGTGTGTGGGGGGGGCAGCTCAGCCCACCAGGGGGCGGGGCGGGCTGGCATGTGGTGCTGGGGGTTCGAACCGCGGTCCCTGTGCTTTGCCAAGCTTGTTCCAAGTAGGTGCTTTAGACCACTGAGCCATCTCACCAGCCCCTCAAGATTTTTAAAGGAGGAGAGGTTTGACTTGACTCATATCAAGTTTTCCCAAAAACTCAAATATAGGGTCAACCAAATAGTTCAGCAGATTAAAGTGCCTGCAAGCAGGTGCAGGGACTGGGGGTTTAACCCAGGGCCTACTGTGCCAGCCCTGCCCCCAGGGCGCAGTGTGATGGCAATTGAGGCTGGGCGTGGTGGCGCATGCCTGTAATCCCAGCTCTTGGGAGGCTGTAAATAGGCAGATCACTACAAGTCCGATCTAGTAGTGAGACCCTGAACACCCTGTAGGCCCTTCCCTAAAAATACACAAAACAAAACAAACAAGCAAAAACATTCATTGGTGAATATAAACCAATGGATCTGTATTTGAAAGTAATATATCCACTGTAACCATCAATCCTGATGCCTCAACTTCATTGGATTAAGAAACATCTAGCAGATTAGTGAAGCACACTAGCACTCCTGGGTGTGTCTGGGCAGGGCATGGAAGTGTGGCCTTGGGCACTACATGAGATCCATGGTTAGATCTTCTCTGACACTTCCCTGCTTTACTTCCTATGGCCATGCACTAAGCAGCTTTGCTTTGTACATTCTTCCACTATGAAGTTTCTGTCTTGGATTCAGTTTATGCTGGATGGAAACTGAGCAAATTAAACCTCTCCTCCTTTAGGTGTGGGTGTTGGGCACTGTGTTGCAGGCACCAAAAGGTGACTAATACATCTTACCTCCAGAAAAGGCAAAAAAGGCACATAGTCCAATTACTTTATTCTGTCTCTGTCTCTTTCTCTGTCTGACTCTGTCTCTGTCTCTCTCCTTTCTATTACTGTATCTCTCTTTTTCATTGTCTTTCCCGTTTCTTCTCCCTCATCATCCCCCTACTCTCCTGCCTCCCTCTTTACATGGGATCTTACTATGTCACCAAAGCTGGCCCTGAATTTCTAGTCTCAAACCATCTCACCTCAGCCTCATGCATGTACACCTGGCTGGGTAACTTTGAGACCACAGAACATAGGTATATGTTCTAGAGAAAATAAAAAATAAAACATCTATTTTTCTTCATCTCTTTTTTGATATGCATGTAGTATTTCTAAAATTGTGTGACATGTAACATTGATAAATGAAGAAATACATTGATTATTTGAGGCACCAATGTTGTCACTATGGGGACAAATGATACTAATATGGAATGAAAGATGGCAAGGAAGAATCCTGTGGTTCTGAGTTAGAATTAGAGATATCAGCATAAACTTGTTATTTGAATATGTCTGACATTGTCAACCTTTTTTTTTTTTTTTTTTTTTTT